ACCTTAGACAAAGTGAATCTGTGAACTTAAGGTTATGTTGTGGTGATCCTCCGGTTGGGGGATGAGTGTTCATACTGTAGTGCAAAAAAACAAATAGAAGATGGACAAGAAAGGTTCAAAGCCATCAGGTGCTCAGTTTAGAAAAAAGAGAAAAGAAGAGGAAGAGAAAAGAGCAAAAGATACAGGTAAGCAGATGTGTCATAATGGTGGGTCATCCTGAAACAATCAGAATCAGAATACTTTATTAATCCCTAAGGAAATTATGTGGGTTACAGTTGTTCCAAGAAGAAATTGTAAAAATAACAGTAACAGACTAAACTCCAAGCAATACATTATGTTACAGATTTTACACATTTAAGAAATAGCACAAATATATACAGATCACTCAGTTATAAATATCAAGGATTAACGGAGGTGATTATAAAGAAATATTAAGAAAATGGACAAGAATATTACAGAGTAGAAAACAGCGTGTATAAAAAAGGTGTAACTATTACAGTGTGTTAGATGGAGGAGTTGTACAGGGAGATGGCCACAGGAATGATTTCCTGTGTCGTTCAGTGGTGCTTTTTGGTAATCTCACTCTCGCCATCCCCACACCATTACTGGCCTTGTGGATCAGTTTATTTAGTCTGTTGGCATCTATGACCCTCAACCTGCTGCCCCAGCATGCAACAGCATAGAAGATAGCAGTGGACACAACAGATACAACAAGATAACATTAATTAGTAGGGAGCTTCAGTTTATGTTTGTTAGAACGTTTGTTAAACAGTAGACACTGATGTAGCTTATTGAATCTTTTGGACTGTGTTCAGCACAATATTAATTAATCATTGTCAGTTGTTGATTTGTGCTATTCTCATTGTATGACAAATTGTGATGGCTGTTTGTTAGCCGTTTGCATACTATGAATACTCTCTCTCTCTCTTCATATGTGTGTGTGTGTGTGTGTGTGTGTGTGTGTGTGTGTGTGGCTTGAAAATCTGTACATTTTGATCACATCGTCATCTGGCATTCCAAATAAACTGACAGGAGCGGAGAAATACCACTCTTATAATTATCTTAAATATCTGCATTCTGCAATGCAGCAATAATGGCTACCATATGAAGCAAAAATAAATAAATAAAATAAGACCTGCCCCACCCCCGCCCCCCCACCAACATTAAATAGCACAATTGAGAGCAAATTGTGTCGCAAGTATTGGAGAAGCAGTTTGGGGCGTGAAGCATTAGCTAAGCAAACCTGACCCGAAGAGGCGAGACTGAGATGGTTTGTGCATGTGCAGATTTTAGAGGCTGGAAATGTGTGTTTAAGAGAAAGACATGGATTATAATCATAGTTAAAAACTCAAGAGGATAAAAAGACAACTTGTAGGTTGTGGGGACTTTTATGTTAAATAAGTTTAGAGGAATATTGAACATCTCAGTATTTTTATATTACGTCTTTAATTACATTTTTTCAATTCAATTTCCATTAATTTTATTTATATAGCGCCAAATCACAACAGCAGTCGCCTCAAGGTGCTTTATATTGTAAGAGAAAGACCATATAATAATACAAAGAAAACCCCAATAATCATATTCCCACTTTGTGAGAAGTGGGAAGGAAAAACTCCCTTTTAGCAGAAAGAAACCTCCAGCAGATAATGGCACTTATCTGCCAACCAGTTTTTCATCACTGATTCAGTGGTTGTTTATATGTACTATTCCATGCCACTAACTGGCTCATAGTGCTCAGGAGCAATGCAAACCGCTGTAGAGGCAAGTGCTGCAGAATAAATCCTATAAACAGCTCATGATGTTGCCAGTGGGTAAAGTGAGTTTCAATTATAATAGCTATGCTCATGAAGCCCAAACCGTGTTTGTGACAGTAAGTTAATCAGGCTTATGGACACTTTCAGTCTGTCTTTGGTTCAGTAATGGGCTTTGTTGTGTTGGTTCTTGAATGAAGACCCCTGCTCAAGCGAGCAACATATTTTTAACAACGCTCTTCGTGAGGGGAGATAGGCCTCCAAAGTGTGGAGGCCTATCTCCTCTCACCACACTCCCTGCCGGTGACTGATGCCCTCAGGGGTCGGTGCAT